ACTCGACAGTGCAGCCTAGGCGGAGTAGTCGAGTGCAGATTCACTGAGCGCAGGGCAAGCTAGCAGACAGAAGTTAAGCTCTCCTTGCAACATGGCAAATTGAACCTCCCCCACCTCTCATTCAGATCTGGCGTTTGGAATTATTTTGGTTTTCATGTGACGTATGACCCTGAAGGTAAGCGCGTCATGGACTAAAGTAAAACAGTATGTTGGATGTGCCATGCAATGCTCAATTACATGGGTGGGAGCTAGTGTGTTAGCGCAGTTAGCTCGTTAACGTGTTGGCCGTCCAGCCCCATGCACGGGCGATCCGCGGTAGCTCGTTAACGGAGATTTGCCGTGTTGTGGCGTTAACGTCATTTCAACGAGATTTACGCTGACAGCACTAGTGGGAACACAACGAATATGACTGCACATTTACACCGACATCATCCTAGTGCAAAGACAAGTGGAAGCAGACAAAAACAACAAGCACGCATGCTACAAACTTTACCCGAGTCATTTAGACAGCCGTTAGCACATGATTCTCCTTATGGGGACCTGATATGTTTAATATGCTGCTGAGAATATAGCCCAGAAGAAGCGTATAGTATAGCTTTTATTTTGGAAAGAGCCATTTCTCTGTAATAAACTCTCTTTTCCAAAGATGAGTGATTCCTCAATCAGATACAGGGCTCGCAAAATTTTTTCCAGTCGGGCTACCAAAATCTATCTCTGCCCTGCCCGTCGGGCTATTGTAGGAAAAATATATGTCAATGCTTTTGCATTCTTTCAGAAATGTAGCTGGGTAATTATGTCATTGGCATCGGTGAGCCACTGTCAATATGTGACATATTGAAATCGCGTTTGAATTTGCGCTTGTTTTTTTGCTTTCACTTTGCAATCGTGCGAACTGTGTATAGAGAGCGACAGCACTGATCTGTGAGTGATGATAATTTGTGCACCAATTCCTCTGACATCGTCTTATTAATCGTTAGCTTACTATGCAAACATGACAAGTGAAATCTCCCGCAGCAAGCTTAAACATGTGAGAGGTTGATCGCGCAGAGAATCGCTGAGCTTATGTGAGTGCGTGTGTAAAAGCATTTCAGTTCTGCTGACAGCCAAAGAAAAGCTTACCACAAAACGGAGAAGTTATGACAAATCAGACTATAAGGCAAAAAGAAAGTGCAGCTTTATGGTTTCATGGACAAAAGAATTTCTGTGGCTGCAATATGACGAGCTAAATAACCAGGGCTGCACATAAGTGGTCCGCAGGTGCGCATTCGCTGTCAAAATAAAAAACACGCACAAGATAAGAAGTTGCAACGCGTGTTTGCGTACATAAGATTTTCTGGAGGTATATCTCGTTCTTTTTTTTTGTATCGAGAAAATATCGAACCGTGACACCAAAGTATCGAACCGAACCGTGAATTTTGTGTATCGTTGCACCCCTAATATTTACATATATGAAATTCTTTCTAACTGTTCTTTTAACCTTGAAACATAAAGGCCTGTGGTTGAAACAAACATGCGCACACAAAAACACATATAAGCTGTTTGGATTATAAAACACTGAATGATTTCAATTAAAAAATCCAACACACATATCTTTTATTTGTTGTTTAGGCTGAGCATCTGCAGTTTGTCACAGATCAGCTGTGTTTATCTGACCTCAGCTCTGAAGTCCAACCCCTCCCATCTGAAACATCTGGACCTGTGTCACAATTACAAGCTGCGGGATTCAGGAGTAAAGCAGTTGTGTGGTTTTCTGCAGAGTCCATACTGCAGACTGGAAACTTTGAGGTCAGTCACCATGTTGTGTGTGGATGTACATGATAAAAACATTGTGGTGGCATTAAACTGCAGATGTAGCCCTTCATGTAGAGTAGGCCCATTATGGCAAAATCTGATTATCTAACAAAATATTCATTATAAAAAAGCACCATGCAACCATGCAAGTTAAAAGAAATCAGAAAGAAAGTAAGGAGGAGGTGGTGAGGGACACAGGGTCGTCTGGTTTGGAGTTAGGCCTGAACTATAGCAGCTGTTTCTGACCACAGGCGACCAGTGGTCCCTGTTGGCCCACAGCTTCTGGTGGGGCTGGTCAAGATTAAAGTCAGTTTCTAGTGTTATGAAAGTGTCTCTTTTTTAATTTGGCTAAATCACTGGGCCATAACCATACTGTGGACCATTCACTCTTAATTAAACAGCCATGAGCATGGAAAACAGACAAATCCTAATTTCTCTGACACTCATTAGTATATCTGAGAATAAAAAGCAGTGAAACCACACGATCATAAGCAAAGATGAGAAGCAAACTGAACAGGTTAGATAAACACAGACCAGTATAGAGTCTTTGGTCCAGACTGGAACA